TTTTTTTTTTGTCTCTCTAAAATTTCCTGTTTGAAAACAAGTTAAAAGGTTAAGAATTTCATCATAACTCAAACTAACCTTTACGCGTGAACAAAGGAGTCTGGGTATTTAGGTCCCACAAACGAACAGTGGTATCCACGGACCCACTTGCCAACTGTCGTCCATCCGGACTAAATGCAACCGAGAGTACAGCTTCTGTATGACCTGCAGTGAATAAACTACTCAGCATTCAAACAAACATAAAATAATTTAACAGCAAAAATTAGTCACGACTTGTGATACAACTTCAATGACTTCATTCGTTACTGTTAGAGTATGTGTGGCTCATATTTTGTTATGTGCATAATGGCAAGGAGGCAGATGCCGGAGCGGATAAGANTCCGGACTAAATGCAACCGAGAGTACAGCTTCTGTATGACCTGCAGTGAATAAACTATTCAGCATTCAAACAAACATAAAATAATTTAACAGCAAAAATTAGTCATGACTTGTGATACAACTTCAATGACTTNCGGACCCACTTGCCAACTGTCGTCCATCCGGACTAAATGCAACCGAGAGTACAGCTTCTGTATGACCTGCAGTGAATAAACTACTCAGCATTCAAACAAACATAAAATAATTTAACAGCAAAAATTAGTCACGACTTGTGATACAACTTCAATGACTTCATTCGTTANTAACAAAAACAACATTGCATTTTGTTCTCATGCTATGTCAATTGTCAAAGGACAAACACACACTTCCTTGGTTTAATTTATGAATAAAAGTTTCTCAAGATACTTTTTTTCTGCTTCTAATACGACCCTCAAAGTGGATGACCATAGAAGGGCATCACGCATAACCAGGATTTTGCACTATCTTGTCGAAAAGCTAGCATACTATGCCACAATAGCATTCCTACCAACTGCCAACCTAAAGAATTCTTGAAAAGACTCTTTATGGTGCTGGCCCCCATACCAGCAATCCTGCCAGAAGCTGATCCTCATGCCATTCCCAAACATAATAGCAAAATGTCTAAAGAATTCCCACGAGCCTCTCCTAATTCTCTTTCAAAAGACCCGCATATTATGGAGGGCTCACCAAACTATCCACCAAAACCCACAGTGCCCACGGTGTCTCCTCTCAATCACCCACCTCCATTGCATAATTCAAAAGCCTTGTTTCCAAGAATGAAGGCATCTAACAAGACACATACCAGCCTATCATAACTAGTGGAGAGAGAGAGAGAGAAAGAGAGAATACCATATAACAAAACGAGAAGTGTGTGAGCAACACATGATAGCTGACCAGTGACCAGGTAATGCCTACTCTCTTTCTCTGCCTTCTCTTTCTTTGTCTTCTATATCTCTTCTTCTCCTACTTTCTTTCATTTTTTCTCCCTCGTTGGTCGCTCTAGTGATTGTTTTGTGCTTCTATTTTTGGTTAATTATTTTCTAAAATAGACCTAATTTCAAATTTTGTGTACTAAACTAATTTATTTCAGATTTTGCAAAAATAGAACTAATTTCAAGTTCTCTGCTTCGACTATTGGGTTTTTTTTTTGGTTGGGACTTGCATTTAGGTTTTAGCTCAGGTTTGATTTTATATTAATTCATATTAATCAATTACTCATCCCTTCTCCTTTCCTTTCAGTCAAGGTCTAACCTTGCATAGCTAATGAAAGGGAATACATTAGAACAGAACCGACTACAAGCTTTGAGAGCCAACAAGAAAACCTCCCTTAACCTTTGAATTCATAAAAAAAAACCCTTTCTTCATAATAATAAGGTAAGCATCAAAAACCAGCAACTTGTTGGGAGTAGGGGCTGAAAAAAGCTCTTTGTATAGGTTGGGTTTGCTAGTTTCCGGGAACATTCGACTTCACTAACAAAAAGATTCTNGATTTTATATTAATTCATATTAATCAATTACTCATCCCTTCTCCTTTCCTTTCAGTCAAGGTCTAACCTTGCATAGCTAGTGAAAGGGAATACATTAGAACAGAACCGACTACAAGCTTTGAGAGCCAGCAAGAAAACCTCCCTTACTCAACCTCTGAATTCATAAAAAAAAAAAACCCTTTCTTCATAATAATAAGGTAAGCATCAAAACCCAGCAACTTGTTGGGAGTAGGGGCTGAAAAAAGCTCTTTGTATAGGTTGGGTTTGCTAGTTTCTGGGAACATTCGACTTCACTAACAAAAAGATTCTTGGATTCCGTCCCTCCCATGGCTCGAACTCCGAGGGCAAATAAAATGAGGGTTTTGGGGTAATGGGTAGTACTTGTGAGGTGGTGTTTTGCTATTGGTGTCATTTCTAAGATAAGTTTATCTCTCATTTCGATGAGTGGATTTTGTAGCTTTTGTTGTGGGTATCTTTCCCATGGTTTTGAAAGCCATAGCTACCGGTACATATCTAGCCTTTTAATTTACACTCCATATTAGCATTCTTTGATTCTTGCCTTTTAATTTACACTTCAAATCTAAACATTATTTGATTCTTAATTGTTATGGGGGGACGAAGGGGAGGGGAGGTGAAGGCGGGGAACGGGTGGCAGGATAGGGGCGGGGGCGAGAATTAGAATTTACCTGCTGGACGTGGATGAGAATTAAAACTAGCCCCGTTAACATAGATAGACTGGGGATGAATTCTAACCGCGTATGGAGATGCAGAGTACTCCCCTCAACCTCGCTCTGGTCGATTGTCATCCCTATTGTCAAGAACAGTGTTACCCAAATCGTGGGTCAATTATATACGCAGTAGTACGGATATAAGTATACAGTACTCCGTATGATAGGAGTAGGACTTAGCTGGTACGTCGTTTTGGGTCGCAATTTGTTTGAAACTCTTATTTAGATCACTTTCACAACTATACAAAATTATATATAATAGTAAATTCAAATACACATAGTCAATCACTGTTTATTATGTATTTGTGCTAGATTTTCTATTACTTAAAATTATATATAACTATGCATCTACAAACATAGTCAATTAATGTCTATCTTATATATGTGATCTATGTTCCAAATCAAATCGATTTGGGTTAATCTTATAGTTTGGGGTTAGACATTTAGGTGATCTGGGATTATGAACTCACACCATTTGGAATCATGGGTCGTCAAAGGTTTAGCCATGTTTGGAACTATGGTAAAAAAAAAACAGGGAAAATATCTTCCCATTCCAAGCAAAAATAATATTGCACTTAATATCACCATTCCTTATCTTCTGATGTGCATGCCTGAGTCGTCCAATTGTCTGGAAAACTATTGGCTGATGAAGACAACACTTGGTGACACATGTAGTTTATCTTCCCATCTAACTTGTCAAATATCAGAGAATATAATAACAACAATAAGCAACTTTGTTCTATTTAGTTTTTTCTTCATTCTTTGAGGTGGCTCCACTGCCTCATTACAACATTTATGGTATACCACGACCACTAGGATAGATCACCGTAGAAATGGCCACACTAATTGCCACTGGACAACTGGAACCACTTAGCACTTCATTAATGCAATCCAAAGTCACATACAAGTATCCATAGAAAAGCTAGTAAAATTTGTACCACTTGTAAATAAAAAAAAACCTCCCAACTATAAACAGTAAAGAAAAAAAAGAGAGAATAAAAGAGAAAAGGCATAAGTAAACTGCAAATGTATATGTTTCAACACACAAAATACTGTAGTTGGAAGTTCACAAAACTATATCATCCAATGGCATATTGAGTTAATAAATCAAAATGTCATACCGACAATTGTTGAAGAACGACGACTAACTGGACGAATTCGGAAAACCGCTTGTGGTTGGTAAACTATTGTCCGGACCTTCTCCACAGAAACTGCAACGCAAAACAAATGACAATTTAAATCCACTTACTCCTGTAAACAAAATAAGATGCCCTCTAGATTAATTTTAACAATAGAACAAATACTCTGAGCTGGAAATATCTCAATTGACTTCATTCGTAGCTTTACTGACATTTGTTTTTCTGTAAATATGACCCAAGTTGCACCACAAGCTCTTGGTTTGATATATAGAAAGCATAAGACAGTTTATCCCCCTGAACAAACCACAAAACCAAAGTTTTTAACAATCAGCTTATGCAAATGGAATACAATTCACACAAAACTCTCTCTCTCTCAACAAGACATGAACAAATATCCCATGAATATTGACTTTTTTTTTTTTGGTTTGTAGCATGTACCAGTGGCAATTATGGTCTCATTCTTGCTTTGTACCTCAATTTTTTTATTGACTCTTGTGTCTCCAAAGTTTTTAATTTGTCTTCAAATTGGTTTCTTTAACTTTCATCCAAATAATTAGTAGAATGGGACAACTGATTGCATACAAGGTGAAGGGCCAAAGTGAGACCGAGCACACTCATAAGCACCCACCACTGAATTTTACCCCATTTTCTAACTAAAATTTTCAAACTAAAGAGTCAAATCAATTTCCAACGGAAGAATTGTGAATCCTTAAAAAAAATAAAGGATTTCTCTGTAATTAGGCCATCAAATTCCAAAAGAGAAAGTAAAAACACAAACATTTGCTCTAAAAAACAAAAAAAATGATTCCGATTAAGTTAATATGTTCATAAAATTGGTTTTGAAAAAGGGTATTTACATTGTTGAGAAGCTTATTGACGATTTGTTGGAGCTCTTTGGGACCAGCGTTCTGTGGTAAGTACATAGGAGCTCCCAACGAATTTCCCTCGGGGTCCGTCAACTGTGACATCACGCTATTGTTCAGTTCTCTCTGTCCTTCGACTCCTACTTCGAGTTCCATTATTGCCGGAGGAAAGAGAAAAGACACCGCTTGGTCAAAGTTGGTACAGAAATGGAGCTGGACAGACGATAAGGGGTTTAGGGTTTTGGTTGGTTTTTAAGTTTCGACGATGGAGGTGGTGGTGATTCTGTGGAGCCCTAGAGCAATAAACTTTCATGCACCTACTATGTGACCTTACATTTTGTTGGTTTTATAATTTTTTGAGATTTTTGCACTTTATACTCATAAAGATTTTAAGTTTCTCACTTTATACCTTTCAAAATTAAATTTTTTATATTATACCATCAATGTATCAAAGTATTGCAATATGACCCTCTATTAGTTTTTGTTATTTTTTTCGTCAAAAAACAACTTATTGACACTAGTAGAAAAAACTAATAGAAAGCTAACAAAATAATCACATTGTAATATTTTTGATAAATTAAAGATGCAACATGAAAATTTTAATTTTTAAGAATACAAAATAAAAATTTTAAAATCTTTACAAATTATAAAATGCAATCCGCCCTTTTCTTTCTTTCTTTTAAACCATTGTTTTATATTGAGGAATAAATATTGAATATAATAGTTATGGTACAGTTACGAATATTGAATATAACAATTACAGTAAACTTATAGTAATCTCTCAATGATAAAGTGAACAAGATAAACACTGAATTAATGAGCTTACGAGCTTTGGTGAGTCAATTAATCATTTGACTAAATCATGAGAGCATGAGCCTACTCTAATTTTTTTAAAAAAAACATATCATTTATATATATTTAAATTAATTTATATATATATCTACATGTGTCCTCTCTACATAGTCTTGTTCAATCAGTCGATATGACCTATAATTAAATAACTAGGAAATTTTGCACACATTTTAAACACATTATTGACATATTTAGATAATTTGCTAAGATATTTTGTTGATTTTATAAGTTTGAAGCTATGAAGATTATGCATACTTGGTTATATAATCAAATGAGTGATCAATAATGAATCACTATTTACTTGATTATTTGTAAAAAACCTTTTTTTCATAGCATTGATAAAAAAATTATCAAGTAACGCTTTAAAAAGTATGAAATCTTGTTGGGTCTACTGTAAATAATTACAATTAGTCTCATTTCTTTGTGAAGGTTTTTAACAATTTTTGTTGTTGTTTTTTTTATGTACACTATGTACATTATTTGACCTATTTGTATTTAATGAATATTTAAATATTAAATATAATATAATAAATACAAAAAAATTGGTTTACTTTTATCATTTGTAGGAATAAAATTAAAATTTCTGGGTAAGGTGTCTACCTAATGTAAAATTTCCTTGCAATAAGTAAGTGCATATCATAAAACATAGATTTTTGCTTTTAAATATTGACAAATATTCGAATAAAAAAATTAGGATTAATTACATTTGAGGTATCCAAAGTATAGAGTTTATCTCATTTTTGTCTCCAATATTTCAATTGCATCATTTTGGTCCCTAAAATATTGAATATCCTTCTATGTGGTCCCTCAAGCAGACAACGTCTAGATTACTAATGATTTTTGATCATAAATTTATCACGTAATACTTAAATATGAGCAAACAAAAATAATTTGGATAATTTTTTACCAAAATTTGGTTAAAAAACTATCCAAATTATATAATTTTTGATCATGAGCTATCCAAATTTTAGTCAAAAGTTACCCAAATTACAAATTTTTGGTCAAGAGCTACTCAAACTAATTTTTGTTCATATTTAAGTATCACATGATAAATTTATAATTAAAAATCATTAGTAATTTGGACGATATCTGTTTGAAGGACTACATTGAAACATATTCAATATTTTGGTGACTAAAATGATGTAATTAAAATATTCGGGATAAAAATGAGATAAATCACATACTCTGGGGATGTCCAGTGCAATTAACCCATTAAATTAAAAGAATCTTTACAAAAAAAAATCAAAATTACCAATAAATAAAAGAAATATGTCATTTTCAAAAGGCTCGGCCAAACTTATCCAAAGGGAAATCTTTATTTCTTTTTTTTTTTTTTAACTGAAAGGAGAGTATTTCACTCATGGGAAACCTCTACATTAGTATTTAGTACTATAAAAACCAAAAAAAAAAAAAAAATTAAGAGGGCAAAAGAGGAGCACCAAAGTGGCGTAATATCTATACTATATTACTTTAAAATGTCAACAAAAGTGAAAAACTTTTGTTTGACAATTTTGTCCTTAATTATTATTATAAAGTCAATCACATCCTCTCATTTCTTTTCATTTTATTTAATTAATTATAAAAAAAATTTATATCCTTTCATCTTCTTAAATTAATTTTGTGCATAAATTTAGCATTCAATTATATTTATTTGAGCTTTAATAATTAATTTTAACCTTTAATTCCATTTTCATTTTAATTTTAATTTTGTCCTTCAATGATGCTGTCTTAAAAACTATTATTCCTTAATTTGGCTTAAATATAAAAAAAATTGAGTTTCTACTTTTTTATTAAATATATTTATAAACTATAAAAATGTGTGTTTGTGTGTGTGTGTGTGTGTATATATATATATATATATATATATATATATAATAAAGTAAAACGAAGTTTGAATTTAGAGACAAAGAGAAGTGCAGATCGTTTTGAAACAAAACATAAACACATTCAACGAACAACGTAATCCCAATGTAAAAGACGATTTAGATTATCTCAAAAAATTTGATCAAATGGTCTACAATGAGTACTAAATTTTATTTTTCCACCCAGCCTCTCTCTCACGCGTCTCTCTCTCACACGCATCTCTCTCTCACTTCTGCCTCTCTCTCCTAATCTCTCACTCACTTATGTCTCTTCCCGTACGTCTCTCAAAGATTTATCTCAGTCTCTCAAAGACTTATCTCAATCTCTCATACCTATACATCTCTCACTCAGTTTCATCCAAAATACATATCTCCCATTTTCATATCTATACTACGCCTGTCTCTCACACTCTCTCTCAACCAGCAACCTTGCCACCGCTACTACCATCGGTGATACCAGGTTTCACTCTCTTTCCCTCTCTCTATCTCTGTTCCTCTATTTCCTCAGTTTCCCTCTCTTTATGTCTGATTTTTCTCTTGCCAATGACATCTACGATCCCAACGTTATCGACACCCCCACCCCACCCCACACCATAGGGTTTCTCTTTCACGGCCACCGTAAACCCACTCATCTTCATAGAAAGAACACATTCTTTTTGTTAAATATTATTATTATTTTTTTGTATTGATTGCAACCTAAATTGTTTTTGATTGTATACTGATTTGGTACCCTAATTTTGTATTTTTGATTTTGAGTTAGGTCATGGTTTTTGTTGCAAGTGATTTGTCAGCGTACACACAAGACACATCGAAGATGTTTGACACAACACCTACATTGTTCGATCTAATGCCAAAGAGGTAATGACCAAATGCCCCAAACTCTCTGTGCACCACATGTTCGATCACCAAGCACACAGTGATGAGGACACACTGCTCCCTTCTTCTCTTTCACCACGCACCGAAATTTTGCCCCATTAATTATTAACGTTTATCTTACTTGAAGTGTTGCATTCAATCTTGAACTATTCATTTAGATGTGATATTTTTTATCTCATTGAGTTTTTGCTTTGTTTAGTTAATCAAAGTATAGAACATTTGAGCTTCCCAATTTTTAATTTTGTGCTTCTGCTATAATGTAGTTAGTTACAATAGATCCTTTCTAATTTTTGAATGCTAACAATGTAGTTAGTCACAACAGATCAAGTACATCTATGTGTTTGTAACATTTCTTTAGTGAGGTGGATATATTTGAATTGGATTTATTTGACTTGAATATTTGTTCAACTGCTTTATTGAAGGTGGGTTGCCGGCATCGAGTCTGAGGCTTCATCGGACATAACCAGTTGAGATATTATGAATTGAAATATAATTTATGTTCGTTGTATTTTTCTTTGTGTTTTCTATTAAAATATTTTGAGGAGTTAATTTATGTTCTATTTTTTCCTTGCAATTTGGATTGCGGAAAACATTATTGATTAAAAATGTTTGCTTCTAAATTTGGATGTCACAGGGGTAATGTCTTGCTGAGTTGGTGCTTCGACTGTAACTTCCATGGTAACTTAAATAAGTAGTCTATTTTCATATTTGGGGCTTCCATAGTTGCGGTTATTGATCGTAAACACTTGGCTTATGCATTCCATGAAATTCTAAAGAATTTTGTGTTTGTTGATTATGTACATTTTGATTTTGACCAACTTCCTGCATTAAGTAAGGTGACTTCCACAACATAGGTGTTAGAAACTATTGTTGCATAGAACATTAACTGGGGTGCTATAACTGACATATATTGTCGACTAAATATCACATTCGTTATTGGCACATAACCAAAACTAGATAATGCCTCATGCATATAGGTCGTAGTAGTATATATGAGGAAGAAAATCAACTTTGATTGATAACATTGTTGTACTTTATTTAAAATTTTATCAGCTGAATTCTTCAGTCTTCTTTCTACTAGAACTTAATTGACAAGAGTTTGTATTCTTGATTTGCCTTCCTGATACATAGGTGTGATTTCCTTCCATTGGGCTTCTATGGGGTTTTTTGTTTCTCTTTTTTCGGTATACATAGACATGTTTATCCTACTTTTGAGGGGAAATGGAATGGAAACTATCAAAAATTCTGTGAGAACCAAATCCAACTGTTGAGATTAATACATGTCAATATTTTTTCTTATCGTACAAACCATATTTCTAACAACATGTACACTAACCTTTTTTATTTGTTCGAATTTATCCTTTGAAAGTATTATGCTACTTGGAGTTTGAACCTGCAGCTTATAATAAATTATGATTTAGCTTTCTCTATTGGGTGCTTAAGGGGGTTGGTTGGGTAGGTGAGATGGTTGCAAGGTATGGGTGAATACATGCTTGAATCCATCAGAGGATCCTCCTCCTCTTCGAATTCGTCGTGATCAGCCATTATACTTTTCTACCTATAGGA